AGAAATGGATCTTGGTTGAAAGAAAGATGCTCACCTGTGGGGGTTTAATTAATTAATTAATTTTTATTCAAATTCTTTCAGCTGTGTAGATCATAACAAATTTTGGATAACATTGCAAAGAATGAGAATTCCAGAGCATTTAAATTGTGCTCATGTGCAACCTGTGTATAGATAAATAGGCAGTCATTTGAACAGAACAATGAGATACTATGTGGAGTTGTATCCTCTTACCATGTATTTGTATGCTGAGGATATGGGCACAACAAAAGATAAGCACTGGACAGTGAACCACAGGGTTAGAGCCCACCAGCCTCTCCACTGGGGAAAGATTTGTGCTTCTATAAAGGTTTGTTGTTGTTGTTATGTGCCGTGGAGTTGGTTCTGACTCATTGTGACCCTGTACAGGGTTTCTGAGACTAAATCTTTACGGGAGCAGAAAGCCTCATCTTTCTCCCACGGAACAGCTGGTAGTTTCAAACTGTTGACCGTGAGATTAGCAGCCCTATTTGTAACCACTACGCTACCAGAGCTCCTATAAAGGCTTACAACCTTGGAAACCCTATAAAAGATTGCTGTGAGTTGGAAATGACTTGTCAGCACTTACACAACAATAGCATGCTAGGAAATAATCCAAGAAGCTGGACTATATGAAGAAGAATGTAGCATCAGGATTGGAGGAAGACTCATTAACAACTTGCAATGTGCAGAGGACACAGTCTTGGTTGTTGTGAAGATAACTTGAAGTACCTGCTGATGAAGATTAAAGACTACAGCGCTTAATATGGATTGCATATCAACATAAAGAAAACAGAAATCTTCACAACTGGACCAGTAAGCAACATCATGATAAGTAGAGAAAAGATTGAAGTTGTCAAGGTTTTCATTTTATTTGGAACCACAATCAATAGCCATAGAAGCATCATTTAAGAAATCTAAGTATATATTGTATTGAGAAACTTTGTCACAAAAGAATCTTTAAAGTGTTCAAAGGCAAATATGTCACTTTGAAGACTAAGATGCACCTAACCCAAGTCACGGTATTTTCATTTTCCCCGTGCATGTGAAAGCTAAGGAAGACCAAAGAAGAATGTATGCATGTGAATTATGGTGTTGGTGAAGAATACTTAATGTACCATGGACTGCCAAAAGAACAAACAAAACTATCTTGGAAGAAATACACCAGAGTGCTTCTTAGAAGCACTGCTGTATCATCTCATGTACTTTGGATATGTCATCAGGAAGGACCAACCAGTCCTTGGAGAAGGAAAGGACATCATGTTTGGTAAAGTAGAGGGTCAGCAAAAAAGAGGAAGACCCTTAATGAGATGGACACAGTGGCTGCCACAATGGCATTGACTGTGATGATGGCACAGGACCTGGTGGTGCTTTGTTTTGTTGGGCATAGGACTAGTATGAGTTGGAAGCAACTCCATGACACCTAACAACAACTAAGCTGGTCAAGTATTACCATTGGAAGTGGGAGTTCTGCGGTGGCGCTATAGGATTAGCACTTGACTGCAAGGTTGGTTTGAATTGCAAGGTTGGTTCAAACTCACCAGATGCTCCTCAGAAACTCTATACAGGATCACTGTGAGTCAGAACCGACTCAGTAGCACTTAACAACAACAACCATTGAAAGTGAGTTTCAAGACTCCATCAAGATTTGTCTAATTTCATGCTTTCTTCAAGCAACTGCATTTAGGTACTAACCCAAAACCATTCCTGCCATATTGATTCCAACTTTACAGTGTTCCTATATGACAGTGTAGAGCTGTACTCTAGTTTCCACGACTGTAAACATTTATGGAAGCAGACTGCTTATCTTTTTCTTCCTGTGGAGCATCTGGTGGGTTTGAGCTGCCAATGTGTTGGTTCACAGCTGAGCAACCCGGGCTCCTTGCATTTAGGGCCAGGGAAGCTATAATCCAGGATAAATCAACATTAGCACTATTGACATATTAGGATGGATAATTCTTTGCTGTGTGTTCATGGGGGCTGCGGATGGGGAATATTGTCCATGTGTTGTAGTATATTTAGCTGTATCCCTAGCTTCTAGCCACTATATGCTAGTAGCACCTCCCCCCCCCCCCAGTAGTAACAAGTGAACATGTCCCCCTACATTATCAAATATCACAGGGGACAAAATTGCTCATGATTGAGGACCATGGCTTTAATTTGTTTAATAATGGCATGACCCAAGTTAAGGATGTCTTAATCAGAGCAATAAATAACTAGATTTATTTTAACACTAAAACAAAGAGCAAAGGATGAAAGAAGAAAGAAGGCAAGGAGGAAGGAAGGAAAGAATCAGAAGAACAAAGTGATGAGGAAAAAGAAAAGGAGGGCTGGAGGGACCAGATGAGGAGAAGAAGTAAGATTTTAAAAAGAGGGGGATGGATTTTCATTGACCCTCCAGTATCTTGTGTCTTAGTTTGACTTTTTAGCTGGTCTCCTGTCTCCAGTTTTAAGTCCGTTCTTTTTTTTTTTTTT